AAACCTATCCCTGATAAGAGAGAATATTAATCTGAAATTTACACCACAAAATAAGCGAATATAGCTTCAAACACAATAGTGACCATTGCGATCAGGCCCACTGAGTTTTGTATAAAACTATCAAATAAGTGACATAAACAAGCAGAGATAAACATCAGGTAAGTGACATAAACAAGAAGAGATAAACATCAAGTTTTATAGTTACTTGAAAATTACATGGAAAAGCTAGGACTAACATTATGATCGCTAATGGTGGAAATGGAGAGTAGACAGAATAGTTACAAATGCTCCCAGGTAGTTGTCAGCTCATCTACATGAAGAAAAGTACATGGTTGCCTAGCTATAGATGAGGAAACATACTCGTGAACTACACAAAATATATGAATACGAGCACCCTAGCATTAATTAATTAGATTTAAGTGATAGGTCTGATCCCTAACTATACAATATAGTCCGCAGAAGCCTTAGTTTAGATACATGCATTTCCTCACGTTATCCATAAAGGTTAAAGTTCAGGAGTAGGGGCTAAATCAAATCGCCAACACATGCACATATCTAAACTGTTACGCCAACAAATTAGTTCAAATCAGCAAATAATGTGAGCTTCTATAGGTTTAACGTGGATGAACAAATAGAATGGGATGCATCTGCAACAGTGTCATCCGCCCTAGAATCAATAAAATAAATTTAAACGAAATTGACAGTTTTCTACCTGTATATTTTTCTGGGAAGAAGTCTCTCCTTCAGCAGGGATGCTATCTAGCTTTATTGCTTGTATCATAAGCATCTCTATCAACGTTGTGATCTGTATTTCTGCAACCTTATTGCCATCAGAAATAGATTTTTCCATGTTTGTAACCTATGAAGTGCAAAACAAATGTTAGTAATACAATAATCATGAACAACAGAATGGAAAACGGATTGCAGGATTTAGGTTCTGTTTTTGGTTATTTCAGCTAAAAGGAAATTTAATTTAAGAATACAAAAGAGAGAATTATTCAATTAGATAAAACTAGACACAGGAAACATCAGTCTTAACAAGTACCACATTAATATTAATCCTTTTTACCGTAATTTGCCATCCACAAAGTTAGAGCTAGAACCAAATGGAACCAAATATTGACTTCATTTACAAGTTCAAATCCAAATGTGAATTCAAATTTGTTTCTCCTAATTCAAACCTGGCTTCAAATACTTCCTCAAATCTGACAAATATTATTCGAATTGTAAAATACGCTCGCATTTTATATTAAAAAAATCATGAATTATTTGGTTAAGGATTTATTTCAGTTTGATTAAAAATGTGATTCTTTTGAATATTCAAATCCATGTGGTCACAAACTTGCATTATTATTTATGTAACAAATTCGAAATAAAAAAAATACTTCTATGTACCTATATGTCCATATACGTATATAGATATCCACATACATTTAGAGGTTGTTTGTTTCCATGCATTTGGTAGGCTTTGCAGTGAAAATAGGGATCGACAAAATTAGATACATTGTTTGTTTGTCACTTTTCATGTCATGGATTTAGAATTGCTATGTACAATAGATGCATTAAATGATATTGCCTAAACTTATGTTGGTTTCAGCTGGATATACGGCTTTAGTCACATATCCTCAACAAATTCATGCGCAGCCGAACAAAATGCGGTTCGATTTTATCCCTCATGCAAATGATCTTTAATATCCCATTACAAACAAACAATATTTTGCGCATTGATTTCAAAATCACTTACATGCATCAATTCCTTAGAGATGCAATGTACGAACCGAACAACCCCTAAATGAATATATGATAATCAAATGAATCCTTTGTGAATGGTCTATTCAGTTAGCAGACAAACTCCAAAATATGTTGATTTTTCTTAAATGAACATCCACATAGCATTTTGAATGAATATTTAAATGAACAAATAACCAAACTACTAGAGTAGCGTTATATACCCTTAAACATCCAATACATTTTTATTGAATATTAATTAAGTTTTATTGTTGCACATGTTGTTTGGATATCTTTTATATAATTGTTATATTATCCTTAGAAATTATTTTGTTAGATCATGCATTGTGATGGTCACTTGCTTGGAGATATGATCTACTTCAGAGGTTTCTTAAATTTGTGCTTAACCTATAACTAGTAAAGGATAACTTTGTTATAACAGGTTATTATGCATGACAACGACATATGAGATGTGATGATTGATCTCAGCTATCGGGAATAAAGATTCCCCAGGTGTATGTCACAAGCGCATATTTGATATGTGTAGCATAAGACCTTATTTGGATTCTCTAGGACAAGTCACCTAAGAGATAGAGAATTCAAATTATTACGTGGTCCCTTAGACTTGATAATATTATCATTTTTTATTTGATAACTTAATATACTTTGACATGATGGTTAAGCTTGTTTTACAAGTGCTATACAACCTGAAATGTTGGGTTATTAGATTTTATTTAGAGAAATGATGGATATCTAGATAGGATCCAGTCTATGTTATATGGACTCGGGTACGAGTATCCGATACGGGTGCGGATCCGAGTGTCCGATACGAAATTTCTGAAAATTTTGGATACGGGGACACCGTCCTAAATTTCGACACGGGTACGGGGATACGACAATAAAAAAAATATTACAAGCATTCCTCAAAATATTACAAGTATATTGTTGAAATGGAAGGTAAATATTACAAGTATACAAAATATTACAATCCTATCCCAAATTTTTATTTACAAATGCTACCCATATAAATATTACAAGGTAAATATTACAAATTTTTTATTTACAAATGTTATCCTTACCCATACAAATGCTACTCATACAACATATTACAAGTATACAATATTTTATTTACGAAGGGTTTATTTACAAAAGGCCAGGGGCTACCCATATAAATGGGTTCTATGGGCTAGGGTTCCCTATTTTCCCCATTTTCCGCCGCCTCCTTCAGATCCAAGAGATCGGCTCCATCCTTCCTCTCTCCTTCCTCTCTCCTCCAGATCCAAGAGATCGGCTCCCTCCTTCCTCTCTCCTTCCTCTCTCCTCCTCCAGATCTCACTCCAACTTGATGCTAGGGCTCGGGTTGTTACTGTTCTCCTGCGAAGCTCTTCTCCCCTCGAAGCTTGTCGTCGACTCCTCCCTCGAAGCTCGTGGACTCCTCCCTCGAAGCTCGTCGACTCCTCCCTCGAAGCTTGCCGTATCCGAGTGCCAACCACCGTATCCGACCCGTATTTCGTACCTGGATCGGTGTCGGGTCGTATCGACGCCGGTACGACGGCCAAACCACCGTGTCCGAGTAACGTA